GATATTGTAAGTTTAAAAATTTATAATTGATATTGTGTAACAGGAAGAAAAGGTCTAAAGGAGCAGGGGAAGTGAGAGGGGTAGGGGAAAGGAAAAAAGGGAAAAGAAAAAATATGAGAAAAGGAAAAAAATGGAAACAAATTCTTTGCAAATAGGCAAGGGTAGAGGGGTTGAAGAGAGGGGAAGGGAAGGGGGAAAAAATAAGAACCAAGATACAGCATGTAATGGTACAAGATCCCAATGATGAATGTAACTGTATTTCATACCTAAAATGTACCAATAAACTTAGTGGGGGAAAAAAATGGTGTGATCTTTTGTCATGGTGCTGTTGTGTGAATTCAATAAATATGTATGTTGACACACTTAGCATATGCCCTGCCTGTGGTTGAGCCCAGTATAGAGCAGTTGTTGATATATTACTTTTAATTGGGAGGAAACATTCATGAAGACTGTTCTTAGATTCATCGAGCTTTCTACTATGTTTGACAGTAACTGAATATTCTTTGTTAATCAAATTTAGCAATTTTTTTCTCATTATTTTCAACAACTTGTTGTGAATTTAATAATAGCCAAATATTTTTTAAACTCACTTGGATATTTAAAACAAAAGTCCATGTAGTTTGTCATAATTGCTTAGCTTTAATAAAACCGTTTTTTAATTTATAGAAGTAGTTTTAAAAATTAAATCTAAGATTTACACATTAAGGACTTATAAATTACCTATTGCTGGTAATTAAGCAAGAACATTGAAACATTCTCATTTGATAATCAGTTTCTCCTTCCTGCACACTTGCTGGACAGACGTGAGTATAAATCCTGATTTGTCACTCACTGACAGGCAATTGGCAAGTCTTTGAGCTTCATTTTTCTCACTTGTAAATGGAGACTATGCCTAATTCATAGTGCTGTTTTGAAGATTAAATGGTATCATGTTTATAAAGGCCAATATTGAGGCTTATATCTTATAACACAATTCACATTTGAGACTAGTCTCAAATTGCCCCTACACCTTCTCAAAATCACACAAATTGAGGTTCTTCTTATACTCTGGGTTCCTGTTGTATTTAAGCATTTGATTGATGGTTCTTACAAGTGTAGAAACAAGCTTCTTGGATATTTGAGAATGTGTTTTATTTGGGTCTGTTCAGTCACTGTCTTACTGATGTACACAGTTTATTGTAGTCTAAATTTGTTGCCTAGATCAACATTATTTTAGTTATTCTGAAGAGTACACTCAAGATTTTGGGTCCCACAATTTCTTGGTTTCAATTGTCAGTTAACCCTTAGACTGCTAGTTTCAAAATTTTGTCTGAATATAAGCCCTCTCCTCAGATCATATACTTAATCCTATCTTTTCTGTAGTCCTGGAGGGGTTGGGCTCTACATAGTGGCTTCTGCAAGGCCCTGTGCTTCTAGCAGAGCTTCTCGTCTGCTAGCCAGAATTTGTTCTGATGTCACAAAACTGTACTTCCCTCCCAATCATTTTACTGCAAAGCAGTCATATCCGAGGGCAAAGTAGTGGCATGATTTTATCGTGGCAACATGTAAATGTTTTTGATGAAAATCCATGGTAGCCATCATTACAGTTGCATGTTCCATAACATCATTAATCATTATACCTGGCCCACTTCAGTCACTAAGTATTTTGTGCAGCATTTTTCTGATCATCACCCTTGTGGTTATCAGAATGACTTGGGCATTAGCACCTGAAATGGTAAATATGATCGAGACTATCTAGATATTACTGAGATTTCCCATTTGAGAACATATCTACAGATAAATCTCCCTGAGATTAGGGACTCTGATTTGTCATGTTGTGATAGTCACACAAGAGTACCAGATGCTACCTTACAAGTAGCGTTCATACAAAACTTGTTTTTTGAATAAATGACTGTAACTCAGTGACATAGTGTACGGGATTGCTGCCTCTGGGTATATGTATTTGAGTCTATGCATCTACTTTTAATCTTTCTGATATTTTCCAAAAATCCAAATGGGAACAATTTTCATTTATGCATTTTCTTCCCAGGCCTATCAAAAAGGAGCTGCTCCTAAAAGCCGAATTCTTCCAGCTGGTGGCAAGGTGTTAACCTCAGAAGATGAATATAATCTATTATCTGATAAGCATTTCCCAGATCCCATTGGTGAGTTGCTGAACAACCTTTTCCAAGGCAAAAATTCCTAAACTTGCTTTATTTAACTAGACCAATGGCTCTCAATGTGGGAGAGGGATTTCTTATGCCAGGGACATTTGACAGTATTTGGAGGCATTTTTGTTTGTCATAATCAGAAGGTGGTTACTGTAGACATTCAGTGGGTAGAGTCCAGGGATGCTGCTAAACATTCTACAACAATGAAGAGTTACTGGCCATAAAAAATTAGCTATACCAAAGTTGAGAAACCCATGCGCTATAAACAAATGGAAGATGTAATTTCTCTAATTTAGGTGAGCATGTTACCACTTCTGTTATTTCACATCCCATTCAGTAATACTCAAGTCAGTT